CTTTATACTTCCTATTATAAGATTTTTGTAAGGGTTATTTATAATCTCGTTCATATCAATAAAATAATCAAGTATTCTACATTATTCTGAGTTTCAACATGGTATCAGAGCCTAGTTTCATATTCTGGCTATCGAACCTCCTGTGAGAATTATCAAGACTCCCGTCCCTCCACCCTTTGGGCAGGAAGGGAGAGGAATAAAGATTTTTTCTTGATCGAGAGAGGCGATTGAGGAGGAAAATGGGATTCCGACAACACTAACTCCATTTTTCAATTCGACGTCAACTCGACAACTCCACGGGGGAGATCCGTTCAAACCCCAATCTCAGCTTCGATCATTTGTATCCTCACACTAAGGTCATCATCAAGATCACATCATCAAGATCTCAAGATCATTTCAAGCAAATTCAGTAAACTCGCGAGGTCGGCACTAGCGATGCCACCACCCGGAGATTTCGCTGCCATGAATCGGACAAGCCGTCGATTTCTCCTGCAGTATTTTTTCTTCCCTGCCAAAGCGTTAGGGGGAGCTGGGTTTACAACCGAATATTTCTCATGCAGTTTTTTTTATTCCCTGCCAAAGCGTCAATGGGAGCTGCATTTCCAGCCGGCTATTTCTCCTGTAGTATTTTTTTCTTCCCTGTCAAAGCGTAAGGGGGAGCTGTGTTCCAACCAGTCATTTCTCCTGTAGTATCTTTTCTTCCCTGACCCAAGTGTTAGGGGGAGTTCTGTTTTCAGCCGCCCTTTCTTCTGTTGTTTTCTCTGTCAACAGAATTTACTGGTGTGATTTACATGTTTTTTTTTCTGCAGCCAACGGGACAATCACAGTCAACTAAAAGTCAGTTTTCCTGCAAAACTCAAAATTTAGCCAAGCCTGAATCCAGTAAATTCAGCCAAGTCTGAATCTATTTTCTAAGCCAAAACATATGACAAATAAAATTCAAAATTCAGTCAAACCTGAATCCAACAAATTTAGTCAAGCCTGAATCTCTCTTCTGCACCGAAGCATATGAGAAACAAACTCAAAATTCAGTCAAGCCCGAATCTAACAAATTCGACAATCAAAACGACCAATTTTTCTTCACTGCTTAGCAAGTTTGGAATTATTAACATACATTCCAAACTTGATAGGGAGTGTTAAGAATTATAGTAGGAAATAATTCATTACTATAAGAAGTTATGAGGAATAAATTATTTCCTTAATATAAGAAGATATTTCCTTTTCTATTTTATATTTATTTCCTTAGATTAAGAATTATTTGGTTTCCTATTTTATGTTATTTCATGTATCTCCTAATAATTAATATGAATTAATTATTGGAGATATTATATGATATATCTTTCATTTCATATCATTTCCTTTTTATTATTTTTCCTATTGTAGCGTTCTTATAAGGATTATTTATATCCTCGTTCATACCAATGCAATAATCAAGTATTCTACATTATTCAGAATTTCAACAGGGTTACTTCGCCGTATTGCCATATGGAGGAGATTTACAAAAAATGATTTATATAAATATCACTTAATGCCTTTGTATTTACATACTTAACACTTAAAACTTTAATTTTTTGTTTTTTAAGCATATCAACCTTATCTATGCATGAAAAGTGCATATGATTTTTAAAATTAAAAATGGTGTTATTTTTTATGTGATATGAGTGGTGGTATAAATGTAAAAAAACAAAATTTAGGTGTCTGATGTGTAAATATATGGAATTGGGTGGTTATTTTTGATGTGTTTGATATCAACCTTGTCCATGAAAATAATGCCTTATGTTCATGGATATTAATTGAATTTAAAATACACATTTTATCCTTATTTTTATTGGCACTGAATATGCTAATGTTCAACTTATAAACATATTTCATACATTAATGAAGAGTATTTGCACAATCCCTTAATTGATCCATTGGCAAAACCCCTTAATTGCCCTAAAAATAATATGTTTTAGAAGGCCTCGATGAAATAGTAGGGCCGCTGAGATGCGGAGGTGAGTCATTTAGTCCCAGACAGCTAGGGATATAATGTTCGGTTGTGGGTGTTTGATTGCTTGCTCATCCTTAGATATTCACCTTCGTGGGTTTGACCATCAAATCACCTTGTTCTGATCACTTGGCATCGATCCTTCTGCCTTGCGTGTTCGGCCCCAGTAGACAGACTTTCCGCAATTGGCTTTGATCGCTTAGCCATAGTTTCCCAGACTCGGTCACTCGACCTTCGACACTCGATCTCGTACGCTTCGCTTTCCCCGGCATGTAGTTGTGTCGATGAAATGATAAATTGTTTCCACTTATTCAAGACGAATTCTGCTGATTGATGTATTTTGGGTGGTCTGATTCTCAAATGATCTTGACCATCTAATACGATGACTCAGACAATCGCTTTATGGTTATATATGAATACATAATAGCGTGCTACTAAAGTGAAGTATAATACTCGCCATAATTATAGATAATAAGCCTATAGGGCAGTTATTTTTCTAAATTAATGGAATGAGAGAAATTTAAATCCAACTCAAAGAAGATAAATATTTTAATGAAATGAAAATTTGAGAAACGACTTTTTAAAATATCTTCCAATACTAAAAGGTTATATATATATATATATATATATATATAGTGCGAAGTTATCTGCTATCGTTTTCAAAAATTGTAAAATAACAAATGAAAATGATGTCGAACAAATCCTAAAGTTTTTGCATGTATAAAAAAACCATAAACCGAAGTCTAAAAAATGTGTATATTATTAACATTAATCATGAAAGCTTTGAAAAGTATCAAGTTTATCTTTTCTTTTTAGCAGATCAACAAAAATGATTCCAAACTGCACCATTGAATGCAGAAGACATATCATTTCATTAAAAAAATAAAATATCATGATTTTTTTTTTAATTTTATTTTAATACCCATTTGGCCGCACTAATCTCATTCAGTATCATTAACGGTAAAATCAAGTAATTAATTAATTAATTTGCGTCTGATTTTGGATTGTACAACTAAGAATCAGTTTTAGCAGTAGTTAGTCTGAAAATATAATTTTGACATTTAATGGTCAGAATAAATAACAATGGTTCTCATGTCACTTTTGTGGGACCAGTGTACGCCAGCACGAATTTCGAAGAGATCTTATGGACTGAAAAACAAGCATGATTAAAAATGGTCCGTCATAAGTCAAATATCCTCGTCTAGATGACTTAGTTATTTTATAGGCTCCGTATGTCGATGAGTCCGCTATCCATGCGGGATTGTAAGAAACTCACTCTCTACCCCATGACTTAGCAGGAGCTTTGAAAGCATCGACGACACATTCCCATACGAAATAACTATCCTTTGATAGCCCTGTGTCAGCTGTCACTATTGATGTAAGCAAAACTTTTTTTGGATCAAGAGTATTTCTAGGCAACCCCTAAGATGTAATTAACCAAGTGAGATATATTT